TAATAGACAGACTATGGGTCGGCCATCATGGTAACCGCAGCGTTGGCATGATGAGTCAACGGTAGCGTTAAGGCCCACTACAGGAGAACCTAGTGTTAAGAAAAAAAGGCATATACATATTATATAACTCATAGGACCGAAATAGGTTCTTCGTTGTATTTTAAACGAACACAAGTATATCCCTGCACAAAAAATATCCTGCTCGTAGTTTGGAAACCCGGATTGCGGATTTAAAAATCGCTATTTTACTATCTTGCAAACAGTGAAAAAAAAACATTTTAGGGCATTAGTTTAGAAAAGACGTCGAGCTTTATGAATGTTGTCGATGAAATATCTTCGACCTAGTAAGGGGCTTGACAACTAATTGAACAATCAGAATAAACAAGTGTCCAACTGGAGAGTTTTATTATAAATCCGATGTGGCCGGTAGTTGTTCTATCGCCGCTGTAATGAAGCGACTGCCATCGCATTAGACGTTGCTATCATTGCGACGTCAGAGGCGTGCGGACATAGGTGCCATCTTGTCAGTAAAGTGTAGAGCGCTTCAGACCGTGTAAAACCCGGAGAATGTTGAAACGTCAGTGGGCAACCTCTCGTTAAAACGACTAACAAGGATTCAAACTAAAGTCCTGCAATGTCGATTCGGATTTAACGCGAAAGAGAGTATTACAGCATCAGCGAAGCTGCTGGCCTGAAGCTTCGACTGGCAAAGGTAAACAGGACCCCTGATCGGCTAAAGAAAGCAAAGTTCATCTCCATCAACGTATAGTACATTGTGAAGCCCACCAAAACAGCTATGGCACGATTCTATGGCCTCCAGTAGGCATGCAGGCCAGAACATCCCCTATGGCTATTTGTCTCCCTCCCAGGCACGCCTGCATTCGCGCTGCCAAATAGATTATTTCAGAAGTTGAAATATCTCACAGCGGACTCGCAAACGATAGTCCACTCGGCAGTATGATTCCTGGACAAAAACACGGTCACATTCAATCCGTCTAAAAGAATGGTATTACTAAATGGTATCTTATTCTTCACGTCTATGCCGCAGACCCTTGCTGTCAAAACGATCCGTGACCTTCTACGTCAGAACTCCAACGAGAGAGAAGGTCAGCCAACACCTCAACTTCTAAGGGATCACGTATAAGCAAATCAAAGGCATTTCGATAGGGTCTCCAATATCTGGGCTTATTGCCAAAGTTTTACCACGAAATCTAGAGAGACGATTGTTAAAGAATATGAAACTAAATTGTTGGCATGCAACGCAGAAAATATGTTTCTTGTGATCAACCAGAGTAGAATCAACTACTTCAGAGACCGTTTGAAATCTATCTTTCCTGATCTACAGTTCATGCTGAAAGAAGGATTGGTGGGCAGATTTCCGCTATTGGACTTTGTCTTTTGCTGCCAACCGAACGGCAAAATGAGGACATCTGTCTACTGGTAAACAAAACAAATGCCCAAAATACTGATTTGCAGTAGCCACCATCCGCTGCAATACAAGCCATATTATGTACGCACGATTTACCGACGGGTGGAAACCCATTGCAGCTTGCTATCCGCCAAACAGCAAAATATGGAGTTCATCTACGAACTCTTCAGGGCTAGTAGCCATTTAAAGAATGCCACCGAACCCGGAAAGCGAGGAGCGTTGCCCAACAAAAGCGTGACCGAGCATCCCGTACATGAAAAGGGTCTCTAAAACCGTGGCTAGATTTCCCGCGCCTCTTTAAACAGGAGTTTTCTACATGCCTACATTCATTATCCGGCAAAAGGTAATACGGCCGAAAGACCGAATACTTACGCAGGAGAAATAAGGCGTTGTCTACCGACTGTACTGCAGTTGTTAGTTGTGCAACGATGT